TTGGTAGCCCAGGCTGGCCTCGAACTCACAGAGATCCGCCTGGCTCTGCCTCCCGAGTGCTGGGATTAAAGGCGTGCGCCACCAACGCCTGGCTTTTTTTTTTTGGTTTTTGGAGACAGGGTTTCTCTGTGTAGCTTTGCGCCTTTCCTTTACTCACTTTGTAGACCAGGCTGGCCTTGAACTCACAGAGATCCGCCTGGCTCTGCCTCCCAAGTACTCTTAACAGCTGAGCCATCTCTCCTTCCCTGGAGGCAGATTTTTGTCTACCAAGAAGTACATGCTTTCATGTTTCTTTCAGGCATTGAGAACCTTCCCTGTGAACTTCAAAGGAACTTCCAGCTGATGCGAGAGCTCGACCAGAGAACAGAAGGTGGGTATAGCCTGAGCCGGGTTTTGACCATTGGTCAGAGAGAGAGTGAGTAAAGGACGTGGGGTATCTTAGAGAGTCTGAAGGGACCTTGTATAGCACAGGATTTGCATCGTACAGTGTCTTGGAGGGAGTGCTGGTACTTGGTTTTTGTGAGACAGGGTTTCTCTGGGTAGCCTTGGCTGTCCTGGAACTCACTCTGTGGACCAGACTGGGCTTGAACTCACAGAGATCCGCCTGCCTCTGCTTCCCAAGTGCTGGGATTAAAGATGGGTGCCACTGCCACCCCGCATTTGTTTGTTTGTTGAGATAAGGTCTTGCTATCTAACCTTGGCTGGACTGTAACTGGCTGTGTAGACCAGCCAATCCCAAACTCACAGAGATCCACCTCCTCTGCCTCCTGAATACTGGGATTAAAGGTGTGTGCCACCATGCCCATCTCAGGTACTTACTTGTTTATTAATTTTGAGACAGCATCTTTTTCTGTGGCCTAGGGGAGTGTAGGGTTAGGGGAGAGTGCTGGTACTTTTAACTTAGCTATAGTTCCTTATTCTTTTTTACTCTTGTGTGTGTACGTATGTGATATGTGTGTATACATATGTGGGGATGTGTAGGGGTCAGAGGACAGGACAGCCTTGGGTTCAGACCTCACCTTCCACCTCCTTTGAGACAAGGTCTCTTTTCTTGTTCACTGCTGCATGTACCAGGCTAGCTGGAATTTTTCCAGTCTCGGGCGCCCATCTCCCAGTAAGTGCGCTGGAATTACAGATGCACATGCTACCACACTTGGCTTTCAAGTGGCTTCTGGGGGATTTGGACTCATGTCTTCCTTCACAGCAATTCCTTTACCCACTAAGAGGTAGCCATTTCCCTCGCCTGTCTCCTGGCTTCCTACATGATTCTTGTCAAAGCTTTCCAACTATTGTCCTTTTCAGTCAGAATATCTGTTGCTTTTCTCCTTTAGAAATATCCCTATCCGCACTGTTTATAAGTTGAGTAGTCCTTATTCAGAATGCTTTCGGCCAGTAGTATTGGATTTTTATGTTTTTCAGTTTTGGGGTGTTTACACCTGTAATGAACTATCTTGGGTGGAGGTGCAACTCAGGTCTTAAGCAAAAGATTTGTGTGTGGAAGGCAATTTTATATGCCATTGCTATTGATTTTGTGTGTGAAATAGTTTGTTCTGAACTGAATGCTAACGGTTGTCAATCTGAAGTTCCACTTCTTGGTTAGAGCAGAGTTGTGTGTGTCTGCCGTCGGCGTTAATGGAAGCATGCAGGGTGTTTCTACATGTTTTGCTCTGTTGTTCACTGTCAGCATCATTGGATTCAACCATAGGGTTGTGAGTCACTAGTTATTCCCTATGCTCTAGGTGGTATGTACGGATGGAGCACAGACCTTGCTTACTAGCCATTCTGTGGGTTGGATGTTTATGTTTTGTCTTGCTTTTGGCTGCTGTGTGTGTTTTCCTGCGTGTATTCTGGTACCTGTGTGCTTCTCCTCTGGTATGTGACGGAGTTAGTTGTACACCAGGAGCTAGGCAAGATGACCACAAAGTTTACTGTTCAGGAGAGTCAGGGCAGTTTGACTACTTGCTGGACAGTACTTGTGCTGGGTCTGTCCTGGGTAAGTTGCCGTACTAGAAAGTGCACGCCGACATGGCCAGCGGCGTTCCTGCCAGCATCCTGGATGCACGGCACTCTACCTCCTGCTTCCACTTCTGCCCTGTCCCCGTTAGATAAGAAAGCCGAGATCGACATCCTGGCTGCAGAGTACATTTCCACGGTGAAGACTCTGTCTTCAGAGCAGCGCGTGGCGCACCTGCAGAAGATCCAGAGCGCCTACAGCAAGTGCAAGGAGTACAGTGATGACAAGGTGCAGCTGGCCATGCAGACCTACGAGATGGTGAGCGGAGGGTCAGCGTGCAGGCTCCCGCCCCTGCCTTCCAGGCCACAGGAGGAAAAAGGTCTATGGAAACGTGTATCCAGGGTGGGAGTTTGGAGCACCCAGAGAGAAGACACATTGGAGGTCTTCCACTGGGCCTGCTCCTACGATTTTGGTTTTTTTGGGGTCCTGTTTTCCTTGCTTGTTGGTAAAACCATTTTTTGTTTGTTTGTGTTTTCTCGGGGTGCTGGGGAATCTAATCCAGGGCCTTGTACATTCCAGGCAAATGCTGAGCCCCTGAGCTGCATCCAGCCTTTGTTTTTCTGTGAAGTCACGTGTTCAAGTGTCCTTTCGCAGGTGGATAAACACATCCGAAGACTTGATGCTGACCTGGCGCGCTTTGAGGCTGACCTGAAGGACAGAATGGACGGAAGTGACTTTGAAAGCACTGGATCACGAAGCTTGAAAAGCAAGTTGACCGATGTTCTGTCTGTTAATGATTGCAGTTTTAAAGGCTTTGATCTAAATGTGTTAGTCACATGATGGTGAATGAATCTGGGTGACTCTTGCTCCACTGTGGTCTGTGCTGTGATAATAATGGGGGTCTTTGTCCTTCAGAAGGTCGGAGTCAGAAAGAAAAGAGAAGCTCCCGGGGCCGAGGCAGGAGGACATCAGAAGAGGACACTCCAAAGAAAAAGAAGCATAAAAGCGGGTAAGAGGTTTTCTGCCCCCTTTTCCCAATGGAACACCATCTTTTGAGCAACAGGGAGAATGCGCCTGGGGGACTCCCTCAGTACCAGTACCCCGGTACTTCACACATGCTGAGCCAGTCCAGGCACACAATGGTCCTTGGACAGTATCTTCATATCCTGGGCTGTCACAGTGACCAGGGGGCTGCAGGAGTCTGAGCGCCTGTGTGCAGAAGGCCAGACCCCTCCTCGGAAGTCATGTGGGTACCACCCTTGGGGTCAGGAGAACGCTGGGTACTTACTGACAGTGCTCTGCTGAAGCCGCTTTTTCAGTAGCCGAACTTACTGTTGGTGATGGTTTTATACATTGCTGTGTGTTCCATACATAGTTGCTGTTGAACTATGTGAGTGCGTTCACACACGTCATTTATCTTGAAATCCTTCAAGATAGTCTCCCACTGTTGCTTCCTGCAGAGGCATTGTGCTATTTCACTGAAGTGGTGTTTGGACTAAAGGGAAAATGGTGAAGTCAGGAGACCCTAAGTGCTGGGGAAGGCTGGGGAAGCTGGTCCTTGACAAAAGGGGGGGCAGGAAACTCGATCACTGAACCTCTTGGTGCATGGACACTTGATCTGTCACTAAGCTACACCCCAGTCCTCCCAGTGTGGTTGTGGCTTTTATTTTATTTTATCTTATCTTTTGGTGTTTTGGAATAAGGTTCGGTAGATGGCCCAGGCTGCCCTTGAACTAAGGACCTTCCTTCCTCAGCCCTCCTAAGCACTGGAGTGCAGGCGAGTGCTGTCGTGGCTGGTTTATGCCGCCGTTGGGATCAGACCCAAGGCTCTGCGTTCTAGGAAGGTACTCTGCCAACTGAAGTAGGTCCCAGCCCATCTTTACCTCTTTTTTTTTTTTTTTTTTTTTTTTTTTGGTTTTTCGAGACAGGGTTTCTCTGTGTAGCTTTGCGCCTTTCCTGGAACTCACTTGGTAGCCCAGGCTGGCCTCGAACTCACAGAGATCCGCCTGGCTCTGCCTCCCGAGTGCTGGGATTAAAGGCGTGCACCACCACCGCCCGGCAACCTCTTTCTTTTGTCATCATTTTACTTTTTGACTGCAGGGGCTTGCTAATTTTGGCCCATGGGGTGGCAGCAGGATGTCTCTGCCCCTTCCCCGAAACCCAGAGGCCGTGCTTCGGGGTTTGAACAGACAATTTGGATGACTACAGTGCCTCGCTAATTTGCACAGCCACGAGAGCGTGATTTCACATGAGTCTGTGGCATTCCTGTACTTCTTGCTCGTAGTCTCTGGACCGGGGCTTCTTGAACTTGTCTACTTGTGACACACAGAAAACACACAGAAAAAATAGGTATATAAGAGGGCTGATAATACATCATACAGAAATTTATTTTAAAATAAAATTCTTTGACATACATATAATATATACATATATAATATATATTAAGGTTTTTGTTTCTACATGAAGAATTGTCTTTGCTTGATATTTGGTACTGGAGAATATAGAACATCCTCATTGCTTTTCAGAGTTTCTTGCGGGCCACAAGAATATATCCTAGAGATTCAGCTGTGTATTAAAGCTGAACTTTGACCGGCCAAGGGTCTGTCAAAAGGCAAAGCCATTTATTATGAATATTTGGTGTTACCCAGCCTTTAATGTTTCAGCTGTCTTCTGCTATGAAATCCTTGCGTGCCCAGACCAATTGGTAAACAGTTCAGCTCCCCAGACCTGCTGAACCTACTAAGTTACTGACTGCCCTGCTGAGCTTAGGAGACAAGCGGGTGGGCGGGAGACGCCTAGCTTTGTTTCTTGTGCTAATCCCAGACCATCCCCTGGCCTTGAGGAGGCCTAGTGGTTCTCCAGAGTATTTGACTGAGAACAAAAGAGGTTTTTGTATATCAAGGTGAGAGATAAAACAACATTTCCTGAAGAGGCAGGGAACCACGTGCCCAGGGGAAGAAAAGATGTATTTTCTGTAGAAGGGAAGAACAGGACGGAGAAGAGAAAAGAGAATGGAAGAACTAGATGGGTAAGAACTTGAGAGGAACAAACTGAGATGGGGAAGAACTAGATTGAAGGGCTAGAAGAGAGGACTAGAGGAATGAGATGGAAGATGAGGAAGAGTCAGATGGGGAAGTACTAGCTGGGTAAGAACAAGCTGAAAAGAACCTAGATGAAGCAGAGTTAAGACGAGAGAATTAAGATAGAACTTAGAGGGAGCAGTAGATAAATATAGAGAGAAATCAGGCAAGAAAGGAGCTAGGCACGAGAACAGAACTGAAGCTGTGTAAATAGGATGTTATGCCAGAGGAATTAAAGCAAGTGGACTATAGAGCTCAGTGTGCTGAGATTCTATTTCCCGAAAATAGTCCTCACCATTAGTAGTTCTTTCTCTTGAGCCCCTGGGATGTATAATATTAAGGCTGGTCTCACTAATATACAAGAAGAGTTGATTGATATTTTGATGACTAGGGTTCGGTTATTGAATATTCTGAAACCTTATACTGTTGTCAGATTTTCTGAGACACCTCCCTCCCCCATCACATTCAGTAGTTTAGGGTTTGTGACCCACAGTTTAAGAAGCTGAGGTCTAAACAGTGCTGCTAAGTAGAATTCTGTTGTGATCTTAGGGATTGTCTCATGTGCACTGAGGCTGAATCTGTGTGGATCTGACTTCCACCAGTGGGCCATGCTGTCTGTGCAGCTATGGTTACAGGTGTCTGCTCATGGTGGGAGAGGATTGGACTGTAGATTAGCAACTTGTGTCGATATCACAGATGGTAGTTGTCAGTTCTGGAGCACCCATTTGAATTGATTCCCTTTTTAAAAATATAAATTTGGCTCCTTTTTTTGAAAATGATCCCTATTTCTATCCATTTACTCATCTCATAATTCTTTTAACTTTTTTTTTTTTAAATGAGATAAGGTCTTACTCTTTGGCTAAAAAGCAGTGGACCAGCTAGGCAGTGGTGGTATATGCTTTTAATCCCAGCATTTGGGAGGCAGAGACAGGTAGATATCTCTGTGAGTTCGAGGCCAGCCTGGTCTGCAGCGCGAGTTCCAGGATAGCTCCAAAGTGATACCGAGAAACCCTGCCCCAAAAAAACAAAACAAAACAAAACAAAAAACTGGCAATGTATCCTGAATTCTAGCATCCCAAGTGCTGAGCATTAACTTACTTATGATAGCTATTTAAAGTTCTTTTCTGTCAACCTTAATATCTCGAAAGACTGTATCTGGTCTCACAGACTCTAGAGCTGAGGGACTTGTCACTCTGCCTTTGTTGGCATATAGCTCATTTTGTTCTCATATTCAGCACATAGCCTGGGTGTACATGGCTACCACATGTAGGTCCTAAAGTGTTATGTTGATAGCTAGGCCACCCTTCCTGCCAGATCTAACAGATGGAAAGCACCTCTCCTGCTACAAATCACCCAGCTCTATCACTCCAGGGTCTTGCTGCCTCTAAGGGTTTTTTGAGCTTTGCATTTCTGACTCGTGGGAAGGCAGCATGATGTCTCTGCTCCTTCCTTCTCCAAAACCCCGAGGCCGTGCTTTGGGGTTTGCACAGACATTGTTGCTGGTGTCTTCTTCACTGAGTGTTTCACAGAGTGTCCTCAGCATGAGGAGCCCAGTACAGGGATCTCGGTGTGGGGGAAGCCAGCACCCACTGGTTGGAGCATCCCCCCAAGGCCTCAGGTGTGAGACAGGCATTGTAACTGCTCCTAAAAACTCACAGATGAGGCAGGCTGTTTCTCCCTTGATGGGAGCCATCATGTTACGTCTGATGCTTAAGAGACAGTCACTGCTTTCTGACCTGCGTGCGTGCTGGGCTCGCTGCGGTAGTGGCTGGGTGGTGGCTTTGGCAGTGGTGGCGGTGGCGGTGGTGGCAGTGGTAGCGTACCTGTTCTGTATTGACTTGGTGTTGGTCCGTTTCCTCTCTGGCCCCTGAATGGCAGTGCAGCCACGGTCCTGATTTGCACATGCTCAGACAGGAGAGACGGCTGGAAGAAGGGGTGTGCTCGGGCCTTGACATCTGGTGCACAGATCGACTTCCACAGAGTAGGCATCCAGAGGTAGCCCAGGGCCCTGAAATTCTGGGCTTGCTGTGTCAGGGTGGGCACTTGGTGTGGCTTCAGGACCTGAAGCTTACACAGACTTCCTGCCTGTTTCTGTCTGGAGTTCTGCACAGTCTTTGCCCCTAGCCTGTGGTTTTCTTCATGACCTAGATGAGATGGACTAAATGTTTCAGTTATAGCTTGGTGGTGACCATCATTTTCCATAGGGGACTTGGAGCCGTGCTCTGTCAGGTTCCTGTGGCTCAGTGGCCACTTGACCAGAGGATGGATATCAAGGAGAGGTACTTTCCTAAATGACTGCCAGACCCCATCTGTTTCCCATGTAAGGTCCTATAAGCTAAGGTTCATTCAGCTCCTTGGCTGCCCCAGGGCCTGGTTTTCTGGCACGCCAAGGCATGCCTGTGAGACCCAAGGGGTCAGTTTCTTCTGCAGTCCTTATCCTAAAGTTTGGGTAAGCAGCCAAGTCCCTTCTGGGTTACCTGGATTGTTAGGGAAGCCCATGGGCAGTCATGTCTGGAGGGAGCTTTCCTGGACACATCTGTGGAGAGGAGCTTCCCTAGCCAAAGGCCAGAGCAAGTCAACATGCCCCGGGGACAGAGGCTGCCTGTGGGGTGCTGCTAACTAGGTGGTCTTCTCAGCCTCTTCTACTCTCCTCTGTGTTTGGTTTCCTATTTCAGAGATGAGGTCCTAGTATGTACAAGCTACCCTTGAACTTCCTTTATAGTTCAGGCTATAAAGGCTTTGAACTCAGGATCTTCCTGCCTCAGCTTTCTAGGTGCTGTATTAAAGATGGGTGTCCCCGTGACTGACTGACCGAACCTGGGGATTCTGAGCTGCAGGTCCCATGATAGCTGAATGGCTGTGGCTTCCTATGAGAGCTGAATGGTGGAGTTTCCTATGGGAAAGTTCCATATAGCTGTTAGAATTGAGCAGCAGAGGCAGGCACACTTCTGGGCCAGGTTTGCTGTCTCAGAGGGGACTGCATGGTGTCCATTGACAGTAGGCCACACAGAGACCATGGAGGTCAAGATGCTAGGCACAGAGTGTCACGGGTCTTGAAGGAAGTTTCCTCCTTGAACCTCTTGGGAGTTGCTTGAAAGCAGTATTGTAGAGCACTTGGACTCATGTGTTTGTATGACATTTCTGTGAAAGCATGGCTTACCTGCTAAGGAGAGGCCTCCAAGGTGCTAGACTAGAATGTAGTTTACACACCGACCTGTCTATGCAGCAACTGCAGTGGCCTGGGGAAACACTGAGGAATTCAGAGGCTAGGAGCCCAGGCTTCTTCTGCAGACATAGTCCTCCTGGGAACTGGCCATATTTATTTATCACTCTACATTCCTAGTTTAGGGGTGGGTAGGGATAGTGGTGTTACAGGTTGTAGCACCAATCATAATTGGTCCCGGAGCCAGATATCAGGGTAAATGCTGAAAGATCAGTAAAGGAGCCAGCTACTAGAGAGACTTTTTTTTTTTAAGATAGGGTTCCTCGGCATGGCCTTGGCTGTCCTGGAATTAGCTCTGTAGACCAGGCTGGCCTTTGCTGGGGTGAAGGGCATGTGCCACTACCGCTCAGTTAGAGATACTTTTTACCTCCAGGACTTCTCCACCCAGCCATATTATTTCCTGTTTCCACCCCCCCTAGTACTGGGATTAAAGGTGTGAGATCCCAAGTGCTGGGATCAAAGGTGTGTGCCACCACTGCTTGGCTGTTTCTCTTTTCCACTAGTCTTGCGCAGCCCAGGGTGGCCTTAAACTTCTGATATTCCTGCTTCCTCCCAAGTGCTGGGATTAAAGGTGTGTGCTACCACTGCCTGGCCTCTATGGTTACCTAGTGGCTAGCTCTGCCCTCTGATCTTCAGGCAAGCTTTATTTGTTAAAGCACAAACAAAAGATCACAGCAGGTATAGGGATTGTACTGTCTGGACTGCCCTATAGTTACATGATTATTTGAAAAATATATGCAAAGAGTAAGTTCAGTGTCCTGCTCTACAGTGAAGGGTGGGGCTGGGCTTTGTAGGCAGCAGTTGTAAGGGAGGGTGAAGGGGTAGGATTCTCGATAGGTTGCTGTTCAGAGACCTAGAGGCGGTTTTGGGCATTAGGAAGTGAGCAGGATAGTGTGTACCAAGCTGGCTCTTGTTAGCCTGGTGGGCAGATGGGTAAGGTTACTCGGTTGATACCTGGAACCCAAAGGAGGCTAAAAGGGGCTGCTAGTATATGGTTTGGGGTGAGGGTTCCTGGGTAGTTGTAGAGGAAACACTGTCTCTTCTCAAGGGAGGAGTGTGAGAGTCTCTGGGAGCCTAGTTCTGACCTGCTCCCACCTATCGAAGGGTTCTTGGGTGGAGGAGAGAGGAGTGAGGAAATACTAGGTAGAAAGATAGACCTAGATGACAAGGAGAGAGACAGAGACACAGGGTAGCTTCAGGAGGGCCCTGGGTCAATACCTAGCTGCCCAGAGCTGTATTCAAAAGGGCTTTTTATAATATGCCAAGGGGAGAGGCAAAAGACCTCCCCCTTGCAAGATCAAGGCACACTATACAGCCAAGTGTGGACCCTTCCATATACTTGGTAACCACACCCCTGGCCAAATCATCCCATTATGCAGCCCTGCTGGATAAAGCAAGCTCAGATTCTCTGACCCTGAGTAAGGTCTCACTAGATAGCCTCTGTGGGCCTCTGTAGAGGAGAAGATATCCATTGGTTATGGCAGAACTGGTGAGTGCCTCAACCGTGAGGTCAGCCCTGGGTGAGACACAGATAGACTCTTCTCAAATGTTAGCTATCTGCTGGCAGGGGGCTCGTGTTCTTGTCCCTACCAGGAGGTGGCAGCCAACACAGAAGGGAGGCCCAGAGAAAGCTGCAGCTTTATCTTGTTGGAGTGGCTATTTGTCCCCAGTAGACAGCAGTGGCTGGTGTTGGATTTAGTTGCTGGTGAACGCTGTTAGCAGTCTCACACCCCACTGCCTGCCTCTGGGGCCTCTGCTGGTATGAGGGTAGCGTGATTTCTGCTTGGTGTCTGCTGCTGCCCCTAGGTTTGTGGCTGGTAATAGTCCAAGGGAATCTCTTCACCTGATAATTAGCATACCATATCATTCTCACTATAAATTCTTAGGAGAGATTTGGCTGGAAGGTTTTGAGGTTATCCTTGAGAATGTATCTCTGTGACAGGTATTAGGACTGTTCCCAGGTTCCATTGACAAGAAAATCAGAAGCAAGCTTATGAGTGATGGATCTTTAGTTCTGAGTCATTGTGGATTCTTTCCTTGGAACCTCAAGCATCTCTGGTTCCAGTGTAGAGGAGCCCTGGGCCATTGGCGGAATTGGCGGAAGGGCTGCAATCTGGCCTCAGCAGCGTCTCCTGCCTTCCTCCTGTTGCCCTGATCGGCGGCGATCCTCTCTCTCTCTCCCCAGGTCTGAGTTCACGGACAGCATCCTCTCTGTGCACCCCTCTGACGTGCTGGACATGCCCGTGGATCCGAACGAGCCCACATACTGCCTGTGCCACCAGGTGTCCTACGGGGAGATGATCGGCTGTGACAATCCAGATGTGAGTGTCCCCGGGACACACCGCGCAAAGAGGGGGGGCGCTAGCCTTTCTGTGTCTGACGTACGGAGCGCACGGGTGTGACGCGGCTTTCCCCTTGCTTTGCAGTGCCCAATTGAGTGGTTTCACTTTGCCTGCGTGGATCTCACCACAAAGCCCAAAGGAAAGTGGTTAGTATGGGGTGACTGCAGTCTCGGGCGAGCCTGCCTGTCTGGTGCTCTGGGTCCTGTTGCGTGTCTCCATATTCCTGCAGCGTTGGCCCTGGCTGGGGAGGGGGGCTTTAGCGGTGGTGGCGGCGGTACACTTACAGAGGGAGATCTGCTGCTATGCTTACCTGGGTGTGTATAGTATCCACACTACCGCCCTCGGAGGAAGGGCTCCCTGCCTGCACCCCAGTGTGCATCCAGTATACCGGGACAGTGCCGTGCCCCTGAACTATGTCCCCTCTGCCCTCTGGCGCCATGTTGGGTAGACGGTATTTTAAGTGAGGACAGAAGAGCAGGTTACTGTCATCAGGGAAAAATGGGAATTAGGAAGAACACGAGAAGTAGCTGTAGAATCTGTGCGCTCCCTTCCAGGGGGCTCCACCTAACAGAGCACGGGAGGCTTGTGTGGTCTTGTTTCCATCCTACCTCTGGTAATACCTACTGCGCATGGCTCCTTACCTCATGTTACAGGAACCGTATGGCAGGTGCCTTGGCTGTGCCTGTGCCTTGTGGGAGTGTGGGTGTGTGAGAGCGGGCATGTGGCTGCCCCGGCAGTGGGTGTGTGAGAGCGGGCATGTGGCTGCCCCGGCAGTGGGTGTGTGAGAGCGGGTGTGTGGCTGCCCCGGCAGTGGGCGTGTGAGAGCGGGCGTGTGGCTAGGCTGTGATGGATAGTGTTTACTCTGCTGAGGAAAGGGAAGAAAGCAGACTCATGTGAGACCGTGGCATCTGACTTCAAGTTCAAGTTGGACATGGCGTTTACAGGATTTCCAGGTGGGGCCTATGACAGCTCTGGCCATGCTGTTGTGGTGTCACATCAACCTTAGAGAGTCTGTAAGCCTGGCAGCTGCCCGATGTGCTAGGCCCAAAGCCAGACAGAAGAACTAGGGCGTGGGGTCCCACTGTGTCTTTCTGTAGGTTACCAGGATGGGCTTCCTCAAAGGGACACACAGCTCCTAACTGACCCGGTCACTAGCACACACAGGTTGGTGCTCAGAGGGAAAGTGACGTCAGCTGTAACGTGCCAGAGAGCTGTCTGCCACATGGAAACCTCCCTAGAATGTCCCTTTGGATCATGAGTGGCTGCTCTGTTCTCGAGTGTCCATGAACGTTGCCTGAGGCTCTGATATGTGGTTGACCCACAGCACCGGGACCTGTGTGACCCACACAGGCTCCAGCGCCCGGTGCAGTGTGCTGTCCACAGGCTTCTCGGGCCCATGTCTGCATGTAGGATCTTCAGCATGTCCAGTCTGCCAGCCAGCCATTGGTGTCACCTCCATAGCGGGCACCTCATATTATGACCAGCCTTATCAACCTGATCACAAGGCTGTGCTGATACGTACTGGTCAACTTCAGATACGCACAAGTTAGCGTTTCAGAAGCCAGCTTTCCTCACGACAGACTGCCGCTCTCACCTGGTGTAGTGATCTTACCAGAGTCCAGCTACCCTGGGGGATATAGAAAGTATATCCTTGGGTGTCCTGTGTGCCAGGAGAAACGATGCCGAAGGCTGATCCCCGTGTCTTTCTCGTGACAGGTTCTGTCCACGATGTGTTCAGGAAAAGAGGAAGAAGAAGTAACGGAGAGGCTGTGCCAGACTGCAGAGCAAGCTAATATATTTCTTCACTCATGTTGCAATATTATCTTTCATTTTAAAACTACCTTATTTCAACTGATATTTAATAATTCAGTGGCCAGTTATGATTTTGGATGTTTCCCAAACTAGGAAGCCACTGCACCGTTTGCACAGAACAGTCTCGCAGGGACTTGCCACAGTGACTTCACACGCAGGCTCCCCACTCCTGCAGCCTCCTCCCAGCACTGAGAATGTCGGAAACGTGGCCTGTGGTGAGTGTCAGTCTGGGTTGTAGGCAAAGTGCTGCGTGGTGCAGGGTGGACACATTCTAACCTGGTGTCCTGCGCTGTCCGGGGACTCGAGGGTCAGCCTTGAGGGTCCAGGTTTTCCTGGACTGTCCCGCGGCACCCCGGAAGCAGGGCTGTTGCTCTGTGAGCAGAGTCTTGTCAGGCGCTGCCCCGTGCTGTGCTCCGACCCTGACCGAAGACCAGGGGCTCCTGGCCAACATACCTCGGATGTGTCTGGAAGGGACTGGGGCTCTTCCCCGGTGGAAGCGCCCTCTGTTTCATCGTGCACCACCACCTTTTCAGGGGGACCCTCCAGCCCCCCCTGGAGGGTAAGCTTCCGTTAGCCTCGGACTGTCCGTTATCAACCAGCACCGCCCATCTGCGGATAAACAGCCAGGCTGAGCTTCCACCTCTCTGGGAATTCCTAACTTCTTTTTTTTTTTTAACTGTGAAGATGAAATTATTGTAATAGCATGAAGGTCATGGGTCTGTGTGTCTATGAAGTGAGTCTGTCTACTGTGAGCTAATTTTAGAACTCTGCTATGTTGCATCCCACTAGACCAGCAGCTTCCATTCAAGGGGACTACAATTATGTGACATGATTTGTGAATCTGTATGTCCAATAGCAGTTCTGGAATGAAGGTAGGGAACTAGAGTGTACTCTTTGTTTAACCAGTGTCCACAAAACCAGTGTTGAACTGTCCTTTGGAGATAGTTGGGGGTGGGGGGTGTATACACAGGGCCTGTGGAGATGCATCTGGGGTGGCTCCTTACGTGTGACAGGATCCTGAGAGCTTCCTTAGACTTAGAATTCCTCTGGCATGTTTTCCAGTGTCTCACTCAGGCTCTGAGAGGTAAGAGAGCCAGTCCCTGGCCTCAGAAGAAGACCCACAGGACAGAGCTGGGCTACGCAATTTCCCGTGTAAGGAGAGGCCAGTTTTTATCTGACGACAGGTGCATTGTTTTAAGATGGTCATGTCTAAATAGAGAGATTGCCCTCCCACTCTATCCAAGGAATGGAAACAAGGCAAGAAGGAGCTGTGTCTGCCCCACATCATACCGGCGCGGTCATGTTCTACTGGACAGGGCGTCCTGCACAGCCTGTCCCAGCCAGAGAGGGAGACAGGAATGGCTTGTGTTTGTGCTACTGAGTAAGTTGGTCCATGTGGACCCTTCCTAGGCAGCAGCTGCTAGGCTACTGTCCGAGCTTGTCTCCAAGCTAGGAAGAGCTTTGGAAATTCGGTTCCTGTGGCTTGAGGGGCTAGTTTTCTTCTTGGGGACCCCCTCTCAAATTCAGATTAGATAGACATTTTCATTTCTTTTTGTTGTTGTTTTTTGGTTTTGATTTTATTATTATTATTTTTCTTTGTTTTGTTTTATTTTTTATTTTTCCAGACAGGGTTTCTCTGTGTAGCCCTGGCTGTCCTGGAACTAGTTCTGTAGACCAGGCTGGCCTCGAACTCAGAGAGTCACCTGTCTCTGCCTCCGGAGTGCTCAGATTAAAGAGATGCATATGCCACCACCACAGGCTAGACATTTTCATTTCTTAACTTAGACTTCTGTTGTACTAAAGGTTGTGAGGATAAGTTACAGAAAATTTTTTTCCTTTTCTCTTTATTTTAAAGACTGGGTGTTATGTATCCTAGGCTAGCTTTGAATTCACAATGTAGCTGAAGATAACTGATCTTTTGATCTTCCTTCCTATACCTCCCAAATTTAAGGTTACTGGTGTCACCAACAGGTCTGGTTTTGCAGTGTTAGGGACCAAACCCAGAACTTTTTTTTTGAGACAGGGTTTCTCTGTGTAGTCCTGGGCTGTCCTGGAACTTGCTCTGTAGCCCAGGCTGGCCTCGAACTCACAGAGATCTGCCTGCCTCTGCCTCTCCAGTGCTGGGATTAAAGGTGTGCACTGCCACGGTCTGTTAAAGGTGTGCACTACCACCCAGCTCCAACCCAGAGCTTTGCATGCTAGGCAAGCATTCTGCAAATTGAGTTCCATCCCCAGCCCTTTTTCTTCATTCTTTTATCTTTTTAATTTTTTTCTTTCTTCAGTCCTCGGGGTCAGGTCTCGTGCATCCTTTAATTTAATTTAATTTATTTATTTATTTGGAGGCGGGGCCTAATTATGTAGCCCAGATTGCCTTTGAACTAGTAATCATCTTGCCTTAGCCATCAAATGTTGGGATTACAGGTGGGTGCCCCCTGTAATGTCTGACCCTCTTATCATTTCTGGAAGCACAAGAAGTTTAAATCAGATCTTGTCTTGGAAGCTGATTTAATACCTGAGATTCAGCCTGAGGCAGAGGAGTGTTTCCTGGTGGCGGCACTAGAGGCTACTTAAAATCCATCTTCGGGCTTCCTGAGTTCATGCTGGCTTCTCCTCTGACTTCCACCTGGGGCCATCCTGTGTACTGGCTTCGGACTTTTATTTATTTTGCAAATTTCTATGATTATCTGCTTTTTTTTTTTTTAAATTTACTTTTGACAGTTATAATAATGTCACCAAAATAAGATTCATATAGCTTGGAAACGACAGAATTCATGGTTTGGGGATTTAACTCTGTGGTGGAATAATTTGCTTACCATGTGTGAAGCTCAGTGTGGTATTGGTTGTATGGAGGTGAGCAAAGCTGCCTTCCAAAAATGATGGTCTAGGTTTGGTCCCTGGCAACGAAACGGAAAAAAGAAGCAGGAAGCAGAATCCTTTGGGTCATTGCCGGTACTCCGATGGAGTGTTTGTTCCATTGTTACTATCCGAGCAAGGAGGATATTCAAAGAAAAGTGTACCTACCACCAGCTCTGGCTAGGGTGCTGCAGAAACACAGAGGCCATGCTGCTGCGCCACTGAGCACCGTCCCAGCAGCCCCGGCTGTCTCCATCCTTGGACCAGATACTCTTTCATGCCTGCCCGTCTAGGCCTGGCGCTTGAGCTATCCCTGCTGCTTAGAGTGGGTAGGGTGACCCCCACAGGTCACCATGGCAGCCAAGGCTGGGTCTTCCTTCTGTCATTCCCCTTCCTTAATAAGTACGTAAGTGTTTTGCTAAGAGGAGAGGAATCACCTTCCTTATTTTCTGTGCATATTATCAGTAGTTTGAATTTCTCCAGTTTCTTATAGGAGAAGCATGATGAATTAATAAAAAAACTGAGCCCCAAGATCTGTGAACATGCTAGTGGTGTGATGGTCCGAGCAGTACTGACCACTCGCCTGTCCAGCGGGTGAGGTCGGGAAGAGTCAGGCTGTGTCTTCCACTCCACAGTGAAGAGCCATGTGGTGTGAGGGCCTGTGGATGGCTGGGGAAGTGGCCGCCTGTTTGCTCCTGTGTACACACATAGCACCTTGTCTTCTGCCCCTCACCTTTCCCCAGAAGGCCTTGGCAGGGATGCCTCAAGCAATAACACTGTCCAGAGATCAACTCCTCCGTGTGATACGGTGCCAGGGTTGGCCCTGTTATGAGGCTGGGAGGTTAGGTCTTCAGGGTTTGAGATCAAACAGTGAGGGACATTTATTTGAGGCTTTGAAACCCTGTTTTCCATGAGCAGAGGTTGGTCATCACTGCCTATGCCGAGAGGAGCTTTAAAGCAGGGGAGGTCTAAGGAGCGTCTTTTCCCTCAGAATGTGCTGTGGTGTTTGCTCGCCACGCTCCATCCATCAGGATGATGCAGCTTTAACATGAATGTCACATTTTATTTTCAAGGAATTATTACCTATGTCCCCTTTGTAAAGGAGAGATACTATTGTAAATCTTTTTATTAAATAATGTAAAGATGTATATCTGTATTTTTGGATCATGGATTATGGATATATTGTTTAATAAATAAAAAAGTATTTTTGGGAAGAAACATTTGAAAGTTTCTCGAAAATCGTTTTGAAAACAGGCATCCCTGTGCTGTGCCAGAGGTGTGTCTCATGTCCATTTCCTCAGTCAAGGGTGCCACTGAAGGACTTTGTGGACCTAGGATCCTGAACTTGGCTTTGGTTGGGCCCTCAGGGAGGTCAGTGGCCAGGGCTGGGTTTCCACACTTGCGAGGAAGACGCGTGCGTGGAATGGGAATGCCAGGGTCTGCTCTGTGAGGTCTCACTGAGGGGCGGGGCTGCCTCGGTCTCTCTGGTAGGAACACTTGCCCGATGTGTGCTGCGCCTCCCCTGGGCAATTCCTGAGATTGTTGGCATCCGTTTGAGAACTGCCCTCGTCTGGTGGGGCAGTTTCCACACACATTCACAAAAAAAAAAAAACCCAGACTGGGTGCTTAACAAAACTTATTCCCCTCAGTTCTGGAGACTGAACCAGGGTTGACACCTGCTGAGGGCTTTCCTTGGGTTGCAGGCGGCCGCCTTCCCACTACACTTACGTGGCGAGGTGAATGGGGTAGGTAGGAAGGGAGTTCTCCAGCATCGTTTCTAATTTCTTACTTATTTTTGAGACAGGGTCTCACTATGTAGCTCTGGCTGTACTGGAAATCCACGGACCAGGCTGGGCTCGAACTCAAAAGAGATCCACCTGCCTCTACCTCCCAGGTGCTGGGATTACTGCACTGCCAGGTATGGTGGTGGCACATGCCCATAATCCCAGCACTTGGGGGGTCAGGCAGGCTGATCTCTCCGAGCTTGAGGTAGCCTGGTCTATATAGCTAATTTCAGACCAGCCTGGCCTACATAGTGATATACAGGACCTTGAGCATACTAGGCAAGCGCTCTACCCACTGAGCTACATCCTCAGTCCATAGTGTTGCTCTGTAACAAGTCCTGCAGGTCTCAACAGTAAGTCCCTCTTAGCCTTAATTACATACATGTAGGCCCTGTTCCCAGTCACATTAAAGATTAGAGCTTTCACATAGGACTCAGGGCTAATATATACATTACTGAGTTGACTTAGACATTCCCTTGGACAGTGCTGAGTTTCTAGACACTGGTCAGCAAGACAGGGTTTCTCTGTGTAGCCTTGGCTGTCCTGGAATTTGCTCTGTAGACCAGGCTGGGCTAGAATTCACAGAGATCCGCCTGCCTCTGCCTCCCAAGTGCTAGGTGTGTACCACCTGACATTTTTTCTTTTTCCTTCTTTTTTTTTTTTTTTTTTTTTTTT